CTTAAATACTAAGGTCCCATCACCTTCCACCTAAATTGTAAATGCCTTTAACTACCTCCTAATAATAAATTCATCCAGTTCTTTGCTAGTTTTTTTTCTTCCTTTTTTTTCCTCCTTTGTATCCAATTGCTCCATGCCTCTTGGTGGTACAACACTAAGAAGCAAGTACAATAATATTACCGTGCTTTTACAGTTAACAGCTTTTGCAGTAACAATCACACAATCATACCTGAATCCCACATAACTTCATGTTCAGTTTGTTTTCTTGCACAAACTTGAAATACCTTACATCACACTGGTATGGCTTTCCCATTTTCTCATTTAGCTTCTGTAATTATTTTTCCTTTAGTGTTAAGAAGATACTAACACCCCAACATGACTCTCTATTTATTTTCAGTGACATTCTTCACATATTTTTCCTTCCCTAAATCTGGTACTTCTTGTACCAGAATCTAGTGACATTTACTTTTGCTTCTTCATGATCGTCAAATTCTTTTTTCACGTTTTTCAAACAGCATGAGATCCAACATGAACACTCAGTCCTGCTGTAATTTTCACAACATGCCCACCACGAAGTGCAGTAAATATGATGACGTTACACAAACCAAAGCTAAATCTGAGATATAACGCTACAACAATATTGTAAGATTTACAAACATCTACAACTGTCTTCACAATTAGTATCACCTCGCTAGTTTAGAGGTCTTTGCTTAGTGTTACTAAATTAATACCCCAACATCACTGCAAAATAGTAGGTTTGCAGTCAGAGAATGTTATTTATTCATTTTAATCCGCACCTTCTTTAAAATTGATAATTCAGAACTTAAATGTTTTAACAGACACTAGAGAAAAAATGTGAACATTTGGTTAAGGCGAGAAAGGCAAATTCCAGAGAACTGCTTTCAGCTCCCTACAAACCATAAAAAAATGAAAGTTTTATTCTAAATGCGGACAGACTCACCTTATTTATGTCTATGGCTACCTCGAGGTATAATGCTGAAACTCATGAAAGAGAGGAAAACTCTGGCTATTTCAATATTGGTCAATAATACTTTGAAATGGGAGAAAACTATTTGCTAATGTCCTGATCATCTCACTGTGCACTTTGGGGGCTCTTTTATTTTTGGCTACTGGTTGGAACTCAGCAGGTGCATTCCTGGAACACATCTTTTAGTGTGGCATCATCCAAAAACTCACAGCTGGTTTGCAGTAAAAACACTAATGAAGATGTATGTCATAGTTAATATTCCTATTAAATTTTCACCTCTCCAGAGAATTAGAATTTCTCTTTCTGCAAGAAGTTTCGTCCTTTACAGAACCTTGCCTGTCAACTGTACTTACTTTTTCCATACTGACAACAGACTGATAGGCATGTGAATGACAACTGAAGAACGATTTTTAAAAAGCAGTAGGTAGAAACAATAGTGAAAATAAATCATTTTAAATTCCTTTTCTCCAAGACCAAATAAAGCATGTTTAATGAGTCCTTCACATTTATTTTTTTAGTGTGCATTTTTCAGTGGCAGATTCTGTATTACAGAAAAAAATTTCATTCTTTCAATTATATGAACTGTGACAGTAGATAAAATAACTCATGAGAGTACAAGAATAAGGTAAGCGGAGAGAAAGCAAAAATCAAAGTCAGTAATACCTTACTGCAGAAGTATAAATGTTTATTTTAACTGAATGACTTAAAGACTCACAGATGGTAAATACAATACTTTCCGTAATGCTTCCATAAAGCTATCATCACTGGTAACAAGATGCTTAGTTTCTCTTTCCCCTCAAAACCTTCCTCCAGGCATATTTTATCTTTCTCTTTATTTATTGTTAAACTGTGCTTCACAGAATATTGGAGAACATACAAGCTCACCCCAACCAAAACACAGGATCAGACTTTTCTAAGCCAATCTAAAGAAATATTTGCCTAATCTGCAGCTGGGAAGTTCCACTTTGTAGGTCACTAATTCCAGAATTTTTCTCTCCTGTTTAACCTAAACCACTTTAGCTTTAATTGAAGCTTACTACCTCTTGTCCCCTCCACAGGGATTATGTAGAACAACCTACTCTCCACGGTAGTCTTTAACGCTCTTGATAATAATATAATTTTTTAATATAGGTCAATTTGGGATGTCATCTCTGCTCTAAACTGAATAACCACTGTTCCTAAAATCTTCCAACATTGTGCTTGCCACATCAATCACTGTTGTTGCTTTGCTCTGTGAACTTTTAAGAAGTCTCTCACCATTTTTTTCAGGTGCAAAATACTGAGCAAAATACTCAGGCAGAAGACCCACTCAAGTTCAACAGACACCTGTCACACATACAAACATGCCACTTTGTATGTACTATACAGTATGCTGTAATCTTTCTCTGTAGCATGGCCTTTTATTTCCTAGATTTTAAATATATCTAAATGCCCCTGAATACTGAACATCTTATGTTTCCACAATTGATTACTTTTAAAAGAGATACAAGAACATTTTTTTCCCTGGACCTCTTCCCTTTCTGACTTACGTATTCTGTTTACTATGATTTGACCTTAAACTTCTATGAACTGATTCAATCTACCAACTCAGCACAAAAGTGTTGCAAACTAAGAACGATTTTCTCCCAAGTTAGCAAACTGAATCAGATCAGTAGAAGCACTAACTCATGCTAGAGATAGTGCAAGTCAGTCACCCAACTCTTCATTTTAACATCTGCAGCTGAAAATGCAACCCTAACATTTAAATTTGCATTGTTCTTCATTTTTCCTGTTGCATTCCCCTTCGCTATTCCACAGTCATTTATTTTTTTAAGTCCACAAATAAAGGTCATCTGTCCTGAATTTACTATCACAGAATTACAAAATGGCCAAGGTTGGAAGGGACCTCAAGGATCATGAATCTCCAACCCCACTGCCATGTAGGGCCACCAACCTCCCCATTTAATACTAGACCTGGCAGCCCAGGGCCCCATCCAATCTGGCCTTGCACACCTCTAGGGACAGGGCATCCTATTCTTGGTATCACTAGTAATCAGATTATTGGGATACTTGTTTTCCAGTTTGACTGCAGTTATCTTAGAGCATTTTATTAAAGTTTTGTTAATGTCTCTGGGACTGCTTTAGCCAACCCTTCAATAAGCTTCAGTGAATTCCAACAAGTTTGAATGATTTTAATGCATCTAATAAGTAGTCTCTAGTTCATCTGTTCTGTACCTGAATGTTTCCCTTTTGTCACAGATCCTCTGTAACTAAGCAAAACTGACTGCTAAAAACTGAATTAAGCATTCAAGCTTATTTCCTTTCTGTCTAGAAAAGATGTCTTCTTGCTCATTCTTCTCCTCTTACTGCATTTTCATTAATCATTTTGCCCATCAACATTGCATCTAAGCTAACATCTTTTTAATGTCATCTTCCATTTTGGAATATGATTATTTTCAGAATTTTCAGTTAGATATCCCAATAACTTGGTGAATAGTTTCTTTCCTGCCATACATATTTCTTAACAGTGGAGTTAGACCACTTCTGCTCAAAAAGGGAAACCAGTATTATTTTTACCATTAGCTGCTACCTACAGTTTTTCAGTAGTTTTATATCCTGCCTGCAATTTAATCTAAAGAAACTTAAAAAAAACTCAAACTGATACATAAAGCTTCCTTTCCTTCCCCCCAGCATCTTGTCCTAAAATAAAAGGCATCTTTTCAAATTGTACCATAGTTTTATCTATTGTTGATGTCCAAGTACTAATTTAGTCTGTCAGTATAGAAGTGGATTACCTCCAATTATTCTTCATTAAGTCCTCTGACATAACTGGCACCCAAACAGGGCTATGCTTAAGCAATGGTATTACAACTGCCATACAAGGCATGCTTCTGTTTCATTTATCATATATGTACATAAAGATTATTCTTTTTCTACTCTACTTTTCCACTTTATTTTCACGTGTCCAATGACTGCATTTGCTGTCTTGCCAAGGAGGGCTTATATTCAGTTGGTGACTGAGTATGATTTCTAGAACCTTTTTAGGGCCACTACTTTCTATAATATGATGACAGATTTCATATACAAGTTCCAGATACTGATTTTTTTTAATTTGCCAGGCTGGTTATTGATCAAGCTCACCTGTTATTCAAGAGAATTTATGACAACATCTAACAATTATGTTACACTTTCTACCACTTTTCTAAATTACAATCTGGCACTGGTACTGTAAATGATTTTTTATATTTTCTTTCTTTCAGATTTTTTATGCTGTTGAGAGATGGATGAAGATTGTGACCCAGAAGTGTATCTAGCAACTCCAGAGTGCCAAAAAGCCTGATTTTTTTTTCATTTTTTTCAGTTCAGCTAATAATCTCTCAAATCTTTATGCATTAAAAAATTCACCTCACCTATTACATACTTGAAAATTTGTGTACATTTATTAAGAAACAGAATGTAATTTTTTTTCTGCCACAAAAGTGTGCATCTGAAGATCCATCTCCTTTTGCTAAAGTTTATGAAGGATAAACTTGGAACTATCCTCTAGATTTTAAGTTCAACTGGTATCATTGAGAAGAAGTGCAGAATCTTAAAGATAATAGCTCTGAGTTCAGTGTTTAGCATATGCATTTAAGTGCCTTTCCAATTTGAACAGTCAAGAAAACTTCCCACTTTGGAAGAGATCAGAACAGGTATGCGCTCTTCAAAGAATTCAACTCATTATTTGAAATAACTGTATTTCAAATCCAGAAGCTTGCCCAACTTCACATACGTAGCTACAGAACATTTGAAAGTATAAATGCTACCTGTACAATTTATTTATATACTGGTATCCTTTTGCTACTACCACTCCCCATTCTTACAGAAAACTAATTTTCTGGAAAAAAAAAACCAAACGCCATCTGTTTTGACAAAATATCGTCCTCAATTATGCAAATGAACGCATTTATGAAAATAAACCTACTGAAGAAACTTAAAACTGCGATGTTAACTGGAGATCTAAACAACATCTGCTGTATCTTCCTTTTCTTACCTTCCTTTTCTTTGGGTTTTAAAGTTTGCTCTTCTTTTTTCTGCTTTGCCTCCAAAAGTTCACGTTTCAGCTGTCGTGCTTCTTTCCGTAGTTCCTCACTGGAAAGGAAAAAATATTTACAAGAATTTAATCTTTTGGGAATGTAAAGCCACTCAGAAGAAGCTGAATCAAAGTTAATGGGCAGTAAATCTCTGATATAAACGAAGGGAATGTACTGACTCACGCATGCTAGGAACATGGCTTAAGAATCAATTAGAACCAAAGAAAGCTTGTATTTTCATTAGAAAAGACAACAAAAAGACATAACAGATGACTTATTTTAAGAGCCCTTTAGAAATATGTCAAGGACATGAATAATAAAACAAAGAACTCCCACTTGTATTTTTAATTTAATATCGTAATATTTAACTATAAGAACCACAAAAAAGAATTTGAAACAGAGGCAGTGCCAAACCAATTTTACACGTATTATAAAATTCAGTTTACGGAAGTAATAAATGCCAGCATTCTTGATTTCTTAGATGAACAGATAATGTAGTTGTGATGTGATTAAGATTACATCTGTATAATGATAAATTATTACATATGAAAATTAACTTAATTTTAAAATTTTACGACAACAAACAGGAATTGACAGCAGAAAAAAAATGTGCAAGTCAGTGTGCCAATATCAAGTGAAATCTCTTTCTCTGGCATCCTGGCTTGTGTCAGAAATGGTATGGTGAGCAGGTCTAGGGAAGTAGTCCTGCCCCTATACTGAGCTTTGGTGAGGCTTCACTTTGAGTACTGTTCAGTTTTGGGCACCTCCGTACAGAATGGTTGGAACAGGTCCAAAGAAGGGCAACAAGGCTTGTGAAGGGCTTGCAGAATATGCTCTGTGAGGAGCAAATGAAGGAACTGGGGCTGTTCAGTCTGGGGAAGGAGGCTGAGGGGAGGCCTTACTGCTCTCTTCCAGTATCTGAAAGGAGATGGCAGAGGGAGTGGAGTTGGTCTCTTCTCACTGGTGACAGGATGAGGGGAAACGGCCTCAAGTTGTGCCAAGGTAAGTTTAGGCTGGATATCAGGAAAAACTTCTTCACAGAAAGGGTTTTAAGCACTGGAATAAGCTCCGCAGGGAAGTGTTGAGTCACCATCCCTGGGTGTATTTAAAAACTGTTTGGATGTGGTGCTCAGGGACATGATTTAGTGGAGGGTTGTTAGGGTAGTATGGTTAGGTTGTGGTTGGACTTGGAGATCTTGGAGATCCTTCTCAACCTGAGCAATTCCATGATTCTTCACAGAATCACAAAATAGATAAGGAGGGACTGCTGAAGATCACCCATGAACCATCCCCAGTGTGAGAAAGCTTTTCCATATGTTAAAATTCAATTTATTAAATTTAATTCTACAATCATATACTACACTAGTGTGAAAGCACAATAATTGCTTTCAGTTTTTCTGGTGTTAGAATCTGTATTTTCCACTTTTTCCAAAACTTAAGTTCCTATTTCTTTTGTATGTGCCTAGAAACTACATGATTTTCTTCTTTAAGTTCCTGAAGTACACTGATAGGTACAATTAAAACTATTCTCTCCCTCTCCTCCTCCTCAAAGAAACTGAATTCTTTGCCACTCAGCAAGAGTTGGTTACAAATGCACTTAGAGTAACGCAGTCCAGCACATCAAAAAGTTTTCTTTAAGAGGGACACACTTAAAAGTTCTAAGTTATATTAAAGTAATGTGGAAGAAGAACGAACTATTCTTTAAGAATTATTCATTCTTCACATCTCCCTTTTATTTTTCCACTGGAAGGAGGTTTTTGTACAGAACATAGATGTGCCTAATTCCTTTAGAATCTAATTATAAAGTAATTTTATAAGATCCTTCTATTATCAGTAATAGATAGATGGTAAGTTGATAAAAGACTATGATACTTGGCTTGGGAACTCTAGACTCCTAGACCCTAAACTTCGTACCCTCCTAAACTATGTACCCTCCTAGGCTCACCTTAGGCTCACCAACGTTAGGCAGGGGAGACAGACAATTCAAAAAGCCTTCATGGTAATGAGGAAGCCACAAGAACTGATTAACTGAAAAGCCAAGCTATACTCAGAAGACAAACTTCCAGTTCGTCAGAAGAGAACTGGAAACAACTGTTTAACAGAAGAACATGAAACTGATGAAGTAAGGCAGAATCAGCATGAGGGCCCACAAATTGGTCTGCAACTGCATCCCTTCATATTTTAACAATAGGTCTTTGCAAGCGGTAAATTTGCACCTGTGTTTTGTGTAAATTAGCTTTTGTTGGTATGTGGTTGCACTGTTGCCTCTTTTCTCTGGAAAGCTTACGTCACATCACTGCTTTCCTGGTCCCACTATTACGCAACAGAATCTCCTCTTGCTCTTACTTTCCTTCCCCCTTTCTGTAGTTTGGAAGCTTTCCAAAGAGACTTCCAATATCCTTCTCAGCTTACTTATTCCCATTTTGAAGGTCCCAAACATACAAAAATGGAAACCAAACAAGTAACACAAAACTGGATTTTCTCTTTGTGAAGTGTATTACCAGTATTGTGTACAAAACAACAAATCATTTCCTTTCTGAATTTTGTTTTTTAAAACTAGAAGTGTAGCTAATTCTTGAAATCTTTTATTGCCACATTCTGTGAAGAGCACTTAGGTGAAACTGTTTAAGTACCAAGCTGGATTCTGGCTTGGAGATACTCCTTCTAAAAGTAGAACAACACTGACCAAATTTCCTAAACACAGTTTTATAGCTTTTGAATGTAAAGTACATTGTAACTAAATGCCACAATTTTCCAAATAAAAACTAGCATTGGCTTATTTGTAAACAACAGCTTTTAACTTTTTGTCTGAAATTGTTAGCCTGCTTATTTTTTCTACAATTACTACAATCTCTTGATTATATAACCCTTAGTAACCTTTTCTGATTGAACATCCTAAAAGATAATAACTGTTCAAAAACGTTACCAATAGGCTTACACTATTCCAGTGCCAAGCATAATTATCATCAGCTAGCTCAACCATATATTCCACATAGAAGATCAAGATAAAATAACTATGTATATGTGTATTTGTCTATATATGCATATAACAAATTGCATACTGAATGTTTCTGAGAAGAATTATAGACAATATTCTTTTTCTGTCAACATTTAAGCAAGTTAGCTCCAGGAAGCACTATGAGAAAAAAAAAAAAACGAACAAAAACCTACTTACCAAAGTAAAAAACTAAAATGGAACAACAATGTCAAAAGAATTGTTCATTTTTCTTATTTATATCAAAAATATTTGTAGTCAGAATGTTTATTCTGCAGAAGAAAAACCCAGACAATCAGTTTCAGAAGAAAATGCCTAACTCCAGGGTTTTTAGATGCATCAGTTTGACTCATGGGATCTCCACGATATAGAAGCTACAAGACACTGGTTGTCTTCAGGTTCATCTCTTACTGCATGTTAAACATGCATGGTGAAACTATCAGATTTCCTGGTAAACTATTTGAATGCATGTTCAACCGACATCTCTGCACTGTTATCTACTACTTGGATTTCTTTTCACAAATGAAATAATTTGAATTTCTCCCTGCAATATGTCTACAATCCTTATGAACACGGGCCTCAGAATCAGACATGATAGGATCAAACACTCCAGCAAACCACTGCTGATTGCATACTTGGTTCCTTTGTTTTGATTCACATAGAATACAAGGTCATCACCACCCTGAGTACTCAAATTACTTCTTGCAATGACTGTAATCCCATTTATTATCCATTTCTTTCCAAAATGTTCTTCAGCCATTGTATTACCCTGCAGCTACAACCTACATTCCAGATTTGCAATTGTATAATCTATTATTTAGTAGTATTTTAAGTTTTTCTTGTAGCATTCTGGCTAAGTGCTATTTAATTCAAATTATTTTTAATAATTTGTCCTCAGGCAAACTATATTGTTCTCATATAAAAACTTTTTAAATAAAAGCAAGTATGCCAGTGTGCTTATAAACAAATGCTTGGATCTACCTGTACTATAAGCAATAGCTATAAACTTTTTATAAATCAAAAAAGTCATCTCTTTAAACCTGTATCATCCTCTCACTTCAGTTTCTCTAAGAGGCAACACAGTTATCTACTAATTACCAGAACTGATTACAACTTTAATGGCCATCTTCTTTGCTTTTGAGTAAAACTAAGAAAGCAATCTGTTACACTTACTTACGAAAGAAGAGAGGATAAATTATGTATGTTCATTTCTTGGTACTGTACCTTTTGCCACATTTAGACTCTGAGATGGCAGTCCTACAATTCTTCGTAATTTCCTGTTTTTCACTATAAATTAACATTAGTAAAGCAGAAAGCATTCCATTTTCAAGTCCTTGCCTAATTAACTAGGCTTGTTTTCTACAAGTACTTCAGTTAAAAGATGTAGCCCCCCTGTCAGTGGATGTGAACTTTTTACCGTCCTCACATTATGCATACTGCACGTTCCACATATAGACACATACAGACCATATTTTTCTTATATAATGATTTTTGCCATCTTTATGATTGGCTGAAGATAAGCCATCAATGTGCCCAGGTGGTCAAGAAAGCCACTGGCCCCCTGGCCTGCATGAGAAATCATGTAGGCTGCAGGTCTAGGGAAGTAGCTGTCCCTCTGTACTCAGCGCACTGAGACAGAAAGCATCCCAACTATTGCGGACAGTTTTGGGCCCCTTACTACAAGAAGGATATGAAGTTGCTGGATAGGTTCCAAGAGCAATAACAAAAATGGTGAAATGACAGTGACACAAGATATGGGGAGCAGCTGACAGAAATGGAGTTGTTTATTCTGCCAAAAGGAAGCCAAGGGGAAATGTCTTGGCTCTCCACACTACCTCATAGTGGATGAATCTCTTCTTGAAGGAACGGAGGGCCCCATATGCTTCCCGACCCAAACCGTCAGGAAGTGTGCTGCCCTCCTGGGGCCCAGGTCAGGGACATAACCAGGAAACTCCCAAAGCTGGTTAGGTCCACTAATTATTTTCCTTTACTCATAGTGCAGGTGGGCAGTCATGAAATTGCTTAGAGAAGCCTATGAACTACGAAAAGAGATTTCAGGGGTT